ATAGATGTGCCTGCAATGGGCTTAGCTAACTGGTTTAATAGGTAGTATTCGGGAGAAGAGACCAATGTTCGAACTTGGGCAGCCACACTGTGTGGATATCCTTAAAGTGAGCAGATCCCTTGTGCGCACCGGCATTTGACCATGTATTCTGAACCATTGAGTCACTGTGATTAACATCCCCAAATTCTTTATCGAGTCGGGTGCGGGGACCCTTGGAATTGGAGATTCAACTTTTTAAATTGGGGAAGAAAATCAAATATAGAAAACAACTTTAATCCAAGGAAAGTCAACACTAAACATTGCATCACAAGATCATACGTCACATTTTGGAAAATTTTAAGGTAGTGAAGTATCAATAATATTATGTACCAGAATGCTCCGCACTTTTCGCACCCTCTCGCAAATCTCCAATCCCTCTTTTCGATCGTGATCTCTGATCGTGTGTGTTTTTTATCGTGTTTCTGTGATTGTTTCTGAACGTGGCTCCCTCTCTTAGTGCAGGCTGAGAGAGTGTTTCCCTAGGTTTCTAGGGCTTTTTATATTGTTATTGCACAATGGAATCGTCAATACTTTTTTGTGTTTTTCTGGTGATTGCTCACGTTTGTTATCCCCAAATCACCATGGATACCAGACAAATTGAGGAGCGATGCGCGGCTATGAATCTGGTTGAGGAAGAATTCGTCGGATTAAAGGCGCCGGAGGTCCAAGCCTGTCCGGATGCGTCGATCTAACACAATCTTGTCGGCCGTTTTCTTACGGATCGGCCAATCAAATTCGAATTTATGCAACAAACTATGGCCTTTGTCTGGAGACCGGTAATGGGAATGCAGATGTTATCCTTGTCGGACGAGTTGTTTCTCTTCCAATTTCCCCACCCAAAGGATCTTAAGAGGGTCATGGATGATGGCCCATGGACATTTGAGAACAGCCTTCTGATCTGCGAGGAAGTCCCAAAAGATACCAGGCCGGAAGATGTCACTCTAGATGCGGTTTTGTTCTGGGTTCAAATTCATGGATTGCCGACTATGTTTGCAACTACGGAATTCCTGTCGAAGATTGGGAATTATGTGGGAAGCTTCATCGCCATCGATCCTATCAATTTTGGGGGCTCATAGCGCAGCTTTTTCTGGATCAGAGTGCGGATGGATATCAGTGCTTCCTTGAAGAGGAGGATGAAACTTCTGCGTAAGGACAGTACGTCGCAATGGGTATCATTTCGATATGAGAGACTGGGCACGTTCTGTTTTTGTTGCGGGGTGCTAGGTCATGTGGACAAATTCTGTAAAAGGGTTTATGAAGAGGGTACTGCACCTCACGAATTTCCGTTCGGTTCGTGGATACGAGCCGGACCAAGGAGACAGGTTAGGCCAGTGGGAGCAAAATGGTTGATGTCGTCCCAGACGACACTCACGGTGCCGTCCAACGTTCCTGATGCTGGTCCGCCCCCAAGGGCGACAAGAATCATAGAGGAGAATGGCGGTCTCCAGGGTGAGCTTAAGAGACGCAGGGAGGAGATTGGGACATCGGGAAGTGCTCTGGAAGGTGACATAACAATGCTGGAATCGACTATAACTCTGCCAAAGGCGGGTCTGGAGGACCAGGCTCGCCTAGACCAATGAGTATCATAAGCTGAAACTGCCGGGGTTTGGGCGGCACCCGGTCAGTTCGCGAACTCTTGGGCATGGTGTCCAAGCAGTGGCCCTCGTTCGTTTTCTTAATAGAAACGAAGGCGGGTGATGTGAAGGTGGAGCAGGTGAGAGTGCAATTGGGTTTTGAAAGGGCTTTTAGTGTGGATCGTGTGGGGCAAGGTGGCGGCCTAGCCTTTTTTTGGAGAGATACTGATGCGGCCTCTGTGTTGAGTTACTTGGGGAACCATATTGACGTGGTAATTGATATTCCAGGACGACCACATTGGAGACTCACTGGTTTTTACGGCAACTGGGATAGAGCGCAGCGGCATGTTACTTGGAATCTTCTGCGCCAACTCAGAGATAAGTCGACACTCCCATGGCTTGTGGTGGGAGATTTCAACGATATTACAGGTTTATCGGAGAAAAGAGGATCCCATTCGCACCCGGAATCACTCATTGAGGGGTTCAACGACGCCTTAAGCGATTGCCGTTTTAAATGATCTGGGAATGATAGGCGCCCGGTTCACGTGGGAGCGTGGTCACGGAACTGACGCATGGGTTGAGGAGCGCCTAGATAGGGCAGTGGCAACAGTCGAGTGGTCAGAATTACATGAAGAAGTGGTGGTGCAGAACCTACATACTCTGTCCTCGGATCACTGTGCCATTTTTGTTGATTTGGAAAGGAGACCTGTACGTACAGCCATGCGCACCTTCAAATTTGAATCGGCTTGGCTAATGGAAGAGGGGTGTTCGAAGGTGGTAGAAGAGGCATGGCGGCAATCTTTGGGAATGCGTTTCCAAGAGCGGATTGAGCTATGTGGGAAGCAGGTGGGGAACTGGGGTGGGGAACATTTCAAATTATTTGGGCATCGCATTAGACATTTGCGACGCAGATATGATGAACTTAAGGAGGATAGGAGCACGCAAGCAGTGAATGAGTTTTTATTGGTTCGAGGGGAGCTGGAGAATTTACTACACCAGGAGGAAATTTTTTGGAAACAGCGGTCCAAACAACTTTGGTTGAAACAGGGAGATGCCAACACAAAGTACTTTAATAAGATGGCCACAATCCGCCGCAAAAGAAATCATTTACAACGGATAAAGGACCTGGAGGGGCATTGGAAGGAAGGGTCGGCGATGCACAATGAAATATTAAGGTATTTTAATTGTATTTTTTGTTCCAGTCACAGTAGCCAGGATTTTTTTCATTGTGTACAACAACGGGTAACTGAGGAGATGAATATCTCCCTGTTACAACCGTTCACGATGGCAGAAGTGAAAGCGGCACTGTTTTCTATGGCCCCGGAAAAAGCACCGGGTCCTGATGGCATGTCCCCGACTTTCTACCAACATTTTTGGCCGGTATTAGGACATGATCTGTCGGTTTTCATCTTCAATTGTATGGCAAACAGGGTTTTTCCGCTGGGACTCAATACAGCAAACATTGTATTACTCCCAAAGAAAAAGGTCCCTGAGAATGTAGCTGATTTACGCCCGATAGCCCTCTATAATGTCGCTTATAAATTTTTTGCAAAGATGATGGCTAACAAGCTCAAAGGAACTTTGGAAAAGATTGTGTCCCAATCCCAAAGTGCCTTTGTCCCTGAGAGACTCCTAACGGAAAACATCATCATAGCAGGGGAAATTGGTCATTATTTAAGAAAAAAGATGAGTGGGCTTATGGGGTGGACTGCTTTAAAGTTAGACATGGTCAAGGCTTACGACAGAATGGAATGGGATTTTTTAGAGGGGATGTTGAGGGCGCTAGGCTATGCGCAGGAATTGGTCCAATCCCTTATGTTATGCGTCTCAACCGTTAGCTACACAATCCAAGTTAATGGTGAGGCCATTGGCACGGTGTGCCCTAGTCGGGGTATACGCCAGGGGGACCCGTTATCCCCATATCTTTTCATCCTCTGTGCTGAAGGGCTATCCTTACTGTTACAGCAAGCTGAGGCACGTGGTGACACTCATGGGGTAAGGGTGGCCCGGGGAGCCCCGGCGATCACCCATCTCTTTTTTGCTGACGACAGCTTGCTCTTTTTCTGGGCCACGCAAAACGAAGCTCTAAAAATCAAAGAATGTCTTGAGTTGTATAGTGAGGCATCGGGACAGCTTATCAACTATGAGAAGTCAAATGCAGTGTTCAGCCTCAATACACAACCTGTTATACGCGAGCTTATTTCAAGTTGTATTGGTGTTCAATTAACTGCAGACCTGGGCCGTTATTTAGGCCTTCCCTCGATACTTGGCCGAAACAAAACGGCTACATTCAGGTACGTTGAGGAAAAGATCCGGGAGCCGATAGGCATGTGGCAACATAAACTTTTGTCAAGGGCAGGTAAAGAGATCCTAATCAAGAACATAGTTCAGTCTTTGCCTATTTTCACCATGTCTACTTTTTTGCTTCCAAGACGGACTTGTGATTCTATTGAAAAATGTCTTAATCGGTATTGGTGGGGTGGCGAGGGTACAGGAAGTCGTGGGGTTCACTGGTTGAGTTAGTCCCGCTTATGTGCACCAAAAGTGTAGGGGGGTTTGGGTTTTAAGAAGTTGCATGAATTCAATATAGCTTTGCTTGCAAAACAGGGGTGGCGGCTTTTAATACATCCGGAGTCGTTGGTGTGTAGATTGTTGAAAGCAAAGTACTTCCCGAACAGTGAGTTTCTGGAAGCACAAATTGGGAACAATCCTAGCTATTTATGGCGGAGCATCCTCGCAGGTCAGGAAATTCTGAAGATGGGGGTGGCGCGACGTATTGGTGATGGTGCAGACACTAAAATTTGGGATTGGGGCTGGTTATCGGATAATTCTTATCCTTACCTGCAAACGCCCTGTATTGATGAGTTGCGGGATGCTCGTGTAAGTGGTCTGCTGACGGTCGAGGGAAACTGGGATACTGATGTGGTAAGAGACATTTTTGTGGAAAAAGATATTCAGAGGATTCTTGCAACTCCAGTAAGCCGTTTTTTCAGAGACTCGTGGAGATGGATTGGCGATTTGAGGGGGAAATACATGGTGAAACAGGGGTACCGTTTACTTATGACAAATGAACAACGAACTGGTGAGACGGAAGGTTTCAATGCGTGAAAACGGTTGTGGTCACTGCCAATTCCGCCAAAGCTTAAAAATCTGTTGTGGCGCTGTGCTAGGGGTGTGCTCCCGGTACGTGAAAATTTAAAGACGAGGCATGTTTGGATAGGGGGCTGTCCGTTATGTGGTTTTATTGTTGAGACCCAGGAACACCTATTTGGCGAGTGCTGGTTTGCTGCGGAACTATGGGGTCAGGGTGATGTGCTTCAGGGACGTTCGTGGCCTTCGTTCATGGAATCAATTCTGGGAATCTCGGACGTGAAGCAGGCCGTAACAATGGCAACCATAATGGAGGTGATCTGGGCATCAAGGAATGAGAGCGTTTGGCGCAATGTGTCGCCAGCCATTTTGCCGATGCGTAACAAGGTTCTCACGCTTCAATCTACTTGGCAAGAAACGTTCAGCAGCATCGTACGAGAGGGGACAGCCACAACCGCAGCTGCTTGGAAGCCACCACCGAGGGGAAATCTTAAATGTAATGTTGACGCTGCTATCTTCTCAGGTGGAGCTGGTTTCAGCGCGGTGCTCCGTGATCACACCGGCAGTTTTGTGGCGGCGAAGAGTGGCCATGTTGTGGGCATTCAAGATCCTTTCATAGCAGAGCTGATCGCGGCAAAGGAGGCCCTAACTTGGCTGAAAGGCCTACAGTCCTCATGCATTATTATTGAATCCGATTGTTTAAATTTTTGTAATGCTTTCAATTCTAGTTTTTCAGATTATTCGTATGTAGGGTTACTTGTTAAGCAATGTTTATCTATTGCTAATGGCATTGGTGATGTGAGTGTTCGCCATGTCAAGAGATCAACGAACCAAGTGGCTCACGAATTAGCACGGGCAACTGGTTCTTTGGCTGTTTCAGGAGAGTTGGTTGTTATCCCGCCAACATGTATTTCCGATTTTTTAAGCTATTAATGAAGTCTGTTTCGTTTGTTTCAAAAAAAAAAATAATAATATTATGTACCAATTTGTTAATAATGAAGAATAAATTGTATCACACAAAAATAAATAAATAGCATAACATATATGTGCCATATACAACATATCATTATTGTATCACAAAAACAAAACAAAAAAAAAAAAAACAAAAAAAAAAAAAAACAAAAACAAAAAAAATCAAAAAACAAAAAACAAAAAAAAAAAAAACAAAACAAAACAAAAAACAAAAACAAAACATATATGTGCTATACACAACATAGCGAATTAACGATACATAATACTCTATTATTTCTTAAAATATAATTTGTTAATTGGCTTATACCATATACCATAGGACACGAAAAACTTTCCCCATTTTATTAATCAAATGATAGGACCAAAAAGTGCTAAAAAATAATTTCTCATAAGAAAATGACAAGATTAGAACCTGTCATTAACTATATATATATATATATATATATATATATATATATATATATATATATATATATATATATAGGGACGCACTCAGGTGCGAATATGTGTTCAGGAAGGAAATGCGAACGAATCAGCGCGCGACACGTGTCTAGATCTAATAACTTAAAAAAAAACGCGGTGGCATTTTCGTAAATAATTGAACATCGAAGTGCAAGTAAAATCTCTTATAAGTGCACCTATTTTCACCTATAAGTGCATGTAATTTTGCCTTGTTAGCATTCACTTTCCGCAACCATTCATGCACCTGGGTGTGCTTATAACTATATATGCAACTATTTATAACTATAGGTGCAACTACTTATAACTATAGGTGCACCTACTTTCACCTATAAGTGCATGTAATCTTGCCTTGTTAACATTCATTGATCTGAGTTCAGCGGGTAGTAATACTCCTGAAAACCACTCGCAAACATTCATACACCTAGATGCAACTACTTATACCTATGTGTGCAACTACTTAGAACTATAGGTGCAACTACTTAGAACTATAAGTGCAACTAAGTATTGATGCTCAGTGTAAATTTTTACTTGCACCTATAATACATTTTACATGCACTTGTAATACATTTTACTTGCACTTCGATGTTCAATTATTTACGAAAATGCCACCGCGTTTTTTTTAAAAATCAGTGTTTCTCATCCATTAGATCTGGACACGTGGACGAACAGAATCCATTCCTATTTCGCGCCTGGGCAAGCCATTCGCACCCGAGTGCAAGTCTATATATATATATATATATATATATATATATATATATATATATATATATATATATATATATATATATACATATATATACACAGGGCCGGCCCTGGGGCATGGGCAGGTTGGGCCCTTGCCCAGGGCCCATGCTTGGGGGAGGGCCCCATCCTATCTCTTATATATATTTATAGTATATATATATTGATTATAAGTAATTTATATACATATATTTTATAGTAAGGTGAATTGGTTTGGTTGGTAAGATACTTGAATTTCAACCTCATTTAATCAAAGGCCTGTGATCAAATCCTTCCCTTCACATTTTTGAATTCTCCAACTTTACTTCTTTGCTTATATTTTAAAAATTTATTTTTATTGATTTTTTGTGTTTAATACGGAGTAGTATTATTAATGTAGTTTTTAAATATATAAATTTTCATATATTTATACTAAACATATTATGAAAATTTTTTATCTTAAATATATAATTTTTATATTAAATTTTTAATGCAATTTCTAAATTTATAAATTTTTATATACTTATACTAAACATATTATGAAAAATTGAATTTAAAAAACTTCAATTAACTCATGTTAACCAAACAAGACACGTAAAAATAGGACGGAGGGGGTTTATGATATATTTTGAGATTGAATTATAAAAAAAATTAAAAGATAATTTACTTCGTACCTTTTTATGAATATCTAATCAATGTAATATAGAAACTTCTATCATGTGTCATTATATGTATTCAAATTATTTTTAAAAAAGTTTAAAATTTATCTATTTAAAAGAAAGGTATTTGTATTAAAAAAAAAGTATTTATAAAAATCATATAAATAATATAGAAGATGTGTGATTTATAATATGCTTTATGTTCAAACTATTTTATCTAGATAATTATGTTTCATATCTTTTTGCATTTGTTTATTGCGTTTTGAAATATTTTAATTTCTTGCTCCTAGTAAAAAAAAAAAAAGATTTTTAGCTTTCCATATGTTTGTAATTATTGTTTTATAAATTTTTATTAAAAATTAACTATTATTTATTATGATAAATGTTATTGTTTATAAGTTTACTCGATTTTAAATTATTTATTCATTTTTATAAACTATAATATTATTTATTTATGAAGACACTTATACGATTATTTATTATTTTGCATTAAGGAAAGCACCTAGAATTTTTTTTCATGATTATTGTTGTGTATGTATGTAAAATTGTTAAAAACTTGTTAATCTTATTTAAAGTTATTGATATTAATAATTTTTTCCTTATTTAATTTAAATTTTAGGCATAAAATTATATATTAACCGGGGCCCATTTTTTTAATCTTGCCCCGGGCCTATAAAATGATAGGACCGGCCCTGTATATATATATATATTATTTACTATACTAATATCTACTATACTAATAAGAGCCCAAGAGAGTTAGGCCTATAATTGGTAGAAAAAATGGCGGTTAAATTTTTTAATCAAATGAATGGCTCAGATTGATCATATTTTAATTTTTCCTTAAGATTTTCTAATTTATCCTTAATAAATATGATTATCCGTTAACTTTTCCGTTAAATATTATTTTTTCCGTTAATTTCTGTTAGTTCACCGTTAACTTACTCATTGATTTCAATAAGAAAGGTCTTAGATTCGAAACCCATTCCAATCAAAGTTGGCATAATTAGTACTCTATTTTACTCTTATTAAATTAAATAATAATTTAATAGCTACAACAAAAAATAATACGTATGCATTTCTTTAATTTAGAATTATGTGTCTACAATGTCTTTATTCAAAAATATTCACTATCAATAAATTAAATAAGAGAAATAATTTCATTAGTTATATTGTATTTATTTTTCTTCAATATAAAAATTCTTTACATTCAAATTCATTAATTGATTATATTCGCTACATTGTCCCTACAATGTCTTTATTAAAAAAATATATATTCATTATCAATAAATTAATTAAGAGAAATAATTTTATTAGTTATATTTTTTTTTGAATGCATTTTATTAGTTATATTGTATTTATATTTCTCCAATGTAAAAATTCTTTACATTTAAATTCATCAATTGATTATATTCACTACATTGTCTATTCTCTTTTTTTGTGCATTGTTTTTTAATTAAATATCAAATTTATAATACAAAATAATGTTATATATTTATTTACCAAATATTTTATTAATACCATAAAAAAAATAAAAAAAAAATTAATAAAGCCAATTATATTAACTACTTGAGGGATTTGTTGACAAAGAGAGTATTCAAATCACACAACAAATTGAAGTGAGAACTACCCCGTAATGTCCTTGTTTGACAATCAGCAGTTAGCGGTTAGTGTTAGCGGATTATATTAGCGAATTTGACCAACGAATTATATCAACGATGGTAACAAGATATTTGAAAAAATTAGTTGTTTAGATTAACATGTAAATGACCTAAGGGTATAATAATAATAATAATAATAATAATAATAATAATAATAATAATAATAATAATAATAATAATAATAATAATAATAATAATAATAATAATAATAATAATAATAATAATAATAATAATAATAATAATAATAATAATAATAGTTTTTAAAAAATAAAAAAAATATAATTAAGACAATCATATTGACTACTTGGAGATTTATTGACAAAAACAGTATTCAAATCACACAACAAATTGAAGTGGGAAACTACCCCGTAATGTCCTTGTTTGACAATCATTAGTTAGCTCTTCAACATTAGTATATATTTAATATTTTATGCCCTAATTTTTATTTGCTCTCCCTTATGTCCCGTATTTGATTTCAACCATACCTATACAATTATTTTATTGACATTTATAATCAATCTTGACTATATTATCTTGCATTTGTAAACTTAGAATTACCTATTTAAATACGCAAATTCAACATTCAATTATCTATGCATGAACAATTCCAATATAATCTTGCCTTGATATAATTTAAAGTACTTATTTTTTTTTAAAAAAAAAACATTGGACATTATCCTAATCGCGCAATGCGCGTAAAAAACTAGTGTGTGTGTGTGTATATATATATATATATATATATATATATATATATATATATATATATATATATATATATATATATATATATATATATATATATATATATATACATACATATACATACTAATAAGAGCCCAAGAGAGTTAAGCCTATAATGGGTAGAAAAAATGGCGGTCAAACTTTTTAATCAAAATAATGGCTTAGAATGATCAGATTTTAATTTTTTCTTAAAATTTACTAATGTATTCTTAATGAATATGATTATCTGTTAACTTTTCCGTTAAATATTATCTTTTCTGTTAATTTCTGTTAGTTCACCGTTAACTTACTCGTTGTTTTCAATAAGAAATCTTAGGTTCGAACCTCATCCCAATCAAAGTTGACATAATTAGTACTCTATTTTACTCTTATTAAATTAAAATAATAAGTTAGTAGCTACAACAAAAAATAATACATATGCATTTCTTTAATTTAGAATTATGTGTCTACAATGTCTTTATTCAAAAAAAATATTCATCCATTATCAATAAATTAAGTAAGAGAAATAATTTCATTAGTTATATTGCATTTATTTTTCTCCAATATAAAAATTCTTTACATTCAAATTCATCCATGATTATATTCGCTACATTATCAATAAATTAATTAAGAGAAATAATTTTATTAGTTATATTGTCAATATATTTCTCCAATGTAAAAATTCTTTACATTCAAATTCATCAATTGATTATATTCATTACATTGTCTATTATTTTTTTTG